ATCCTTTCTTTCATTGTATTTGGATCCAAACTGTTACAATCGTTTTATTTTTAGACCGATCATGTATAGACGTGTAACGACCCGACTGGTTGTTTTGAGCATTTACACTTCGCTTGGTTGTTTGAGGGCATGAGTAGCTCCGTATGATGTATTATAACTTATGTGAATTGTCGGTTTTGATTTTCAGGTTATTCGAAATTGATTTGAAAGAATGATTCTCAGCTAGAAGCTTTAAATTTGAAAGGGTTGACCAAGTTTGACTTTTGGTGAATTTGAACCGGGATCAGAGTTTTGATGGTGACGATAAGTCCGTTGGGCGATTTTGGACTTAGGAGTGCATCCAGATTGTGTTTTGGAGGTCCGTAGTAGAATTTGACTTGAAATGGCGAAAGTTGGAATTTTGGAAAGTTTGACCGGCAGTGGACTTTTGATATCGGGGTCGGATTTCGATTCCGGAAGTGGGAGTAGGTCCGTAATGTCAAATGTGACTTTTTTGCAAAATATGAGGTCAATCGGACGTAATTTGGTGGGTTTCGGCATCGGTTGTGGAAGTTGAAGTTTAAAAGTTCATTGATTTTGAATTTAGGTGTGATTCGTCGTTTCGATATTGTTAGGTGTGATTTGAGGCCTCGAGTAGGTCCGTACTGTGTTATGGAACTTGTTGGCATGATCGGACGAGGTCCCGAGTGGCTCGGATGAGTTTCGGACGAGGTTCGGATCACCTTCGTTGCATAGTGCATTGCTGAAGGCTGCTGGTCCTGGTGTGATCGCACCTACGACTAGTTTTGCGTAGAAGTGACAAAGGCGCCGCAGATGCAAGATGAGAGCTGGATGAGGAGGCCCGCAGAAGCGGAGAAAAGGGCGCAAGTGCGAAGTGATGGAGCGCAGGTGCGAGAGTCTTTGCAGATGCAGAGCTTAATACCGCAGGTGCGAGGGTTGCTGGGCAAGGCCATTTTTCGCAAATGCGATATTTTTTCCGCCAAAGCGATGGTCGCATGTGCGATGAATTATCCGCAAATGCGGAAATCGCTGGGCAGAACCTATAAATCGAGGTTTTTGGTTCTTTTATCATATTTTGAGACGTGGGACTCGGAGTTAGGCAATATTTGGAGCAAATTTCATCACAAGGATTGGGATAAGTATTCTACACTTGGTTTTGATCTTATTCCACGAATCTATCTTCATTTTTAGCAATCGGTTGATGAATTTAAAGAGGAAATTGGGGGTTTTGGACTAAAGTTTCATAATATAATTTTTTGAGTTTTGAACATCGAATTTGAGTCGGATTTGAGTGAACCTAGTATGGTTGGACTCGTAATTGAATGGGTTGTTGGATTTTGTAAATTTTGTCGGGTTCCGAGATGCGGGCCCGGATTAGGCTTTTGGCCAATTTTGGGCTTTTGATTCAAGATTTGATCTTTTTCGATCGGGATTGGTTCCTTTACCATTGTTTGATGTACTTGAGTTTTTTTGGTTAGTTTCGAGCCGTTCGGAGGTCGGAACGTGCGAGATGGTATCTTTGGAGCATCACTTGGTTTGCTCGGCATTGGTATTGGCTTGTTCGAGGTAAGTAACTCTTTTAATCTTAGTGCTGAGGGTATGAAGCCCCGAAATACGTGTTATGTGATTGGTATTGAGGTGACGCACATGCTAGGTGACTAGCGTGTGAGCATACACCATGTGAATTGGGACATTGTTGTTTCCATGGCACTGTACAATGGTCCTACTTTGTTGATATCCGTATTTTCACCATGTGATAAAGTAATTAAGCTGTCAATCATGCTAGATATCATGTTTAGGCATTATGCCGATACTGTTTGGACCCATAGTGGTCGTTTCTTATTGTCATCTCACTGATTTCATTGATATTTCATACTCAGTCATATCCATGCATTCATACCATATCTCAGTCTCAGTTATTATTTATTGATACATTATATCATTGTTATCAGGCTAGTTATAGTAAATGATATCCGTGAGTGAGACTGGAGAGATTGATGACTGAGTGAGGCCGAGGGACCGAGTGAGAGTGATATTTTGGGATCGAGCTGCACGCCGCAGTAGGTTATATTGATTACAGTTATGGGATCGGGCTCCACGCTGTAGCATGCTATATTGATTTATGCCTGGATCTGGCTTATGATAGCGCTTGGGCTGTAGGAGCCCCTCCGGAGTCTGCACACCCCCAGTGAGCGCGGTTGATTATATTGAGGGATGGATCTTCCCTGGACATGGATCTTGTCCGAAGCATTTATATATACCTGGAGATGGATCTTCTCCATGGGGTCGGATTGGCCTTCCTCGGTACTAAGTGACTGATAGTCAGTGATGTATATATTTCGGGATGGATCTTCCCTGGACATGGATCTTGTCCGAAGCATTTATATATACCTGGAGATGGAGCTTCTCCATGGGGCCGGATTAGCCTTCCTCGGTACTGAGTAACTGATAGTCAGTGATGTATATATTCCGGGATGGATCTTCCCTGGGCCGTATGGGCCATATATAGTACCGAGTAATTGAGCATGATGAGTCGAAAGTGTGAGACAATGAGATTGAGTACTCTGTGAGTGTGAGTACATGATTCATCTCTGAGATACATGGCATTGGCATGCACACATATCATACAGGCATAAAGATACATTTTTCCTCATGCTGTACGGTATCACGTCATTCATGACTTTTTACACACATTGATATGTGGGCATAGAGAGATATTTCACACTTGCTATCTGGAAAGAGAATGAAACATCTTATTTATTGTGGAAAGGATATTTGGAAAAAAAATTACAGTTTTCAAACTTACTCGTATTTTTGGCATTTTCGATAAAAGATTGGGGTTTTCACTAAGATATTTGAAAAGCATAACTATTTTTTGGAACTGTGAACGAGCCGAGCATTTTACTTCTGAGATACATCTTTTATTACTTGTATTATGCTGTTATGAACTATTGTGGGATATTGGTATTGGACCCGACTTTATGTTAGCTCGTCACTACTTTCAACCTAAGGTTATGTTTGTTACTTATTGAGTACATGGGGTCGATTGTACTCATACTACACTTCTGCACCTTGCGTGCAGATGTTGGTTGCTGATGTTGCTGTGTTCGATGGGAGCTGGATTGAAGATGTACCTGCTTCCCGATTGTAGTTGCCTCTTGTTCGTGGTAGCTTTAGATCTGTAAAACTCTGTTTATGTACTTTTCAAACAGACAATGTATTTATTTCATTTCCGCTTTGTAAACTCTATTTTTAGAAGCTAATAATTTGTACTACCAGTTCTTAGGGAATGTATAAGATTCAAATAATTTCTTTACTTAATTGCTTTATTTATTGTTATTGGAATTGGTTAGTGGTTAACTGGCTTACCTAGAGGGTTGGGTTAGGTGCCATCACGACTAGTTGGATTTTGGGTCGTGACAAGATGCTCATGGCTTAGTGACACCCCGACATTGGGAGCTATTTCCGCACTTGTGTTTTGGGTTTTACCCCCTTGTTTATGAAACTTTGCATATTTCAAATGTCTTGAATTATTTTTCTGTTAAATATTTGGAGTATTTGGAAATGACGGCTTGCCTAGTACCATCGATAGGCGCCATCACGACATGTTAGGATTTGGGTCGTGACAACAAGATACCACTACAGGGAACTAAAGTAACAATTTATCTATTTTACTAGTCTTTAGCAAATAAATAATCTAAATCGGATAAAAATAACAAATTAATTTAATCACAAAACAATCACGAAAAAACATATACCACAGTAAAAATTAACTAATTAATATTTTTTAACAACTAATAACAATTTCTCTATTTTACTAATTTTTAGCACGCTAATAATATAGTCCGGATAAAAAATAACAAATTAATTAAATCGCAAAATAATCACGACATAACATAGAGCACATTAAAAACAACTAATAGGCATTTTGTATACATGAGGTTTAACAAAAACTAAGTCGGAATACCTCGATTTTAATTTTTTGAAAACTTGAAGATTTGGTGATTTGGAGCCGAAACGAGCAACCCACTACGAAATAACGCCTTAGCTAAGATGTGGGACCGATAATCTACACTTTTTGTGAAACCGGTGGGCTTCAACCGAATTTTCTTTGCTTAAAAATAGGGGAGGGAGGACCGGTGTTTGTCGTTCTTTAATGGGGGCTGAAGCTCACTGATTTGGTGGGGAAGGAGAGTGAACACATTTTTATCTAGGTACAATATCGTCTTAATATAAGACGCTATAATATATCGTCTTAATATAAGACGCTATACCTTTCCGATCATTTTACGTTCAAATATAACGCCTTATATTAGGGCGCTATACTTAACTGGGCAAACGACCGTTAAGGTATAGCGCCTTAAGCTTGGGCGTTATATATATTTTGGTTCCCAATTTTTTTTTCCATACATTTTGATTCTTTGAGTCCAAAAGAACCACAATTTGATTCCGGACTCTTATTAGAATCCCCAAGCAATAATGCTGTTTAAAAAAAACGAATACATAATATAACCATTACAGGGATGTGATATGTCAACCACACCAGATATATAACCATTATGTGTTTTAAAGTTAGAATATACAAACTGTGCTCATAATACATTGTGACGTGTGACATTTTCTGTCTTTCAATTGTACAAAACAAGCATTCAGTTTAAGTTAATCCAAAAGGAAAGAATTCACATTAATTTCTCTAGATTAAAGAGTGTAATATCCAAGACAAATCAGTCCCAAAAGAGACAATCAAAGCATAGTGTGGTTAAAAATTCACAAGAAATGCATACCTTACCCAACTTATAATATGTACAAATAAACAAGCCATTTACCCAAAAGAGATACTAATCTAAGCTTAAAACATGACCATATAAACAGGCCAATTAACGAAAAGAGATATGCATCAGCTTACACAGCTTAAAACAACGTAAACATACTATTTACCCAAATGAGATACTGATCAGTTCAGTGAACATGTACAAGCAACCGGACCATTTACCTACTAGCAGCTTTTCATATCTTTCAATCTATACTAGGAAAATCTCATAAAAATAAAACGTACGTACATATATATAGGGCCACTAACGACCAACGCAGCACAAGTTCTCAAGTACAATCCATTCGTATTCGTACGTATAAATACACGATCGAGCTCCTTCATAATTATAATCTAATCAAATACTACAAACAATAATGGGAAACAAACATTTTAGGAATATCAGCTGGAATTATCAAGTCGCTTCTTCGTATTCTCTGCAGCGTCAGCAGCATCGACCTCCATTTTTGCTTTCAACATATCAGCCTGTGTTGCTTCCTCCTCACTTCTTGCCGTCATCTTCTTTCCCTGACCAAACGTAACATTAATAAACTATTCTTGTAAAGCTACTTGCAATCAGTTCCAACGTTACTATCACTGCCTTTTGTAAAAGCACAAAAAAATCTTATGAAACAAAATAAAATTACCTGACCAACTAAAAATGCCTTAATGTAGCGGCAACATTGTTGCAAAGACGTCGTAAAATACAGGAATCCTTTCGTCAATTTAGACTTCGTTGCCGGAGTCGCTGACTGAATATCCTCCATGTTCGAAGCTCTAATAATTGTAAGTTTATACCTCTCTCCCTTTGATATCTCTTAGTCAAGTTGACACGGAGATGGTTCTCGTTTTATATTTCTTTCGTTTTCTTCTTCTATGAGGTGTTTGTTTACACTTGCATATTCATTCTGTCAAACATGCAAATAGGTGGCATGCTCTGAATTCACCTTAAGTTTCTAAAATTTGCCACGTTGCACCAATATTAAACCATAACCTTCCACGTGTTACGTCTTTATCAGTTTGTCATGCTTGTTATGGAAATGTCGTTGGATTGCTATGTTTCCTTGGGTTTCTTGCGACGATGAAATTTTATAAACCACCCCAATTTAGAACCTTAGTAATTATAATTTGCTTAATTATTATTTATAAATATTATTCAATTATTATTAATTTATATTATTTATATTCAAACGCGTAATAAATATAATTTGTATCGATTGTAATTATTCGCACAACGAATATAATTAAGGTAAAATATAAAAATATAAAAAAATAAAATATTCTTGTTGATAGACAAATTTAAGGCCTTTGCTAACTAAGCGGGGATCTAACCAATTGAGCTACAAGAACTTGTTTCTCTCTTGTTTCACTTTAAAATAATTACTCTTATTTTATAAATTTGCTATAAAAATCAAATATAACTGTAAAAAATAAATTTACTGAAATATAATTATAAATAATAAATATAATATAAATATTTAATATATCGCATAATTTTCCTGAATTTATATTGATGGTTCGAGTGTTCAGCCCCCCTTTTTTCTAGTCACTAAGCACTGTGCTTAGTAACCCCATGTATATTCTACTATCTGGGACTCAGCACACACCTGGACGACATGTTTGCCTGGCACCTCGAGGGAGATATCGTCTTTCCGTAGCTTTATTTTGGCCTCACTTGGATTATATCGACTCTTCTTTGGCTTCTCTCATCTCACTTTTCTTGTTCTTATCTTTACACTTTGGTGAATTTTCCTGTCCGGATCTTTATTTTCCTGTGAGTTATCTTCTTCTCATCTTGTATTTCTCTGTTTCATCTTTTACTACACGCTAAGACTTTGTTCTTTATGTGTTTGAACAAATTCTTGAATGTATCAGTTGGGTGGTGACATATTTTTAGANGACTTTGTTCTTTATGTGTTTGAATAAATTCTTGAATGTATCAGTTTTCAGTTGGGTGGTGACATATTCTTAGATTATTCCGTGTGGTATTCGATTCACCTTGCCTTTTCCTCCGTCTTTCTGTTTAATTTTTTGTTTTCTGATATACTGGATTTTTGCTATTAAAAATTCAATTCTATACTTTTGGAAGTAAATTATTTTTTCCTAGAAGAATATGGTTAAGAGGTGAGTACAGAGACACATCCTATTTTAATGCTTTTTTTGCCAATCTAGCAACATATGAAAAGTTTCACAATCTTCAAACTCCTCTGCGACTGCAACCCTATCTCTTCTTGCTTTTCTTGTTGTTAGCTTTACCCTTTGGTCAATTTATCGTTTGAATTGTTGTTTTCGTGTGAGCTTGCTTCTTCTTATCTTGTGTTTCTCTCTGCTATTATGGGATGCTAGGCCTTTGCTACACATGAAGTTTAATTGTCGAGTTCTGTTTGCTCTTACTGAGAAAATTGTTGAATCAGTCAAAGTTTTTACTAAACGTTTACCATTTGTCTTTCAATTTAATTTGTTGCTCCGCTTGGGCGGAGAAGGGGCTGCTACATTTGATTTAGGGTAAACTATGTGCGGTGACAAAACTTAACTTGGTGGGTAATAGATAGAATCTGTAATAAATAGAGTGTTCCACGATATTAAAAATATAATTTGTCCCTTTTTAAACATCTCATTGACAAGTTCGGATAGAAATATTTACAGGTAAAAAAGGAAGTTCAACTGGCATAACTGCTGGATTCCAAAGAACCAAACAACTGCTCATACGCAGAAAAAATGAAGGTTGCAATGCAACTCAAACGGCGTGATAGGCAAAGCCAAATATCTGCTCATAGAAGGGAAGCGATGTTGCTATCTCGCCGTATAAGAAGACAAGATTCTGCAAATCACAGCCTTCTTCAAAGTCCGACTGTTGCTGTCCCAGAGCATTGGAACAAAGCAGGATTTCTGAAACAAACTGCTCTTACCATACTAGAGCCTCCTTCCCTTGCGGAAAAAAGGTTATATTATTGTACTCATATTTAGACACCATATATATTATTAATACAGTGCTGCTTATATATTTTGCTTGGAGATTTAGTATGATATCTTATTTATCTTATGTGTACCTATAAAATAAAATACTCAAATACTATGTGTTCTATTGCACTCTATTTTGCACCTACTAAGGCTTCACTGTACGCTTTTAAAACTCTTCGTTGTTTTGTTTACCAGCTGCCGACCATGAAGTTTGCGCGACTACATCGCGGGATAATTTAGAAAAAGGAAAGAGTATATTGGATCTCTCAGGTTAGATGTCTTATCTTTCGGTAATATTGGATATGATATTTCTGGATCAACTTAAGTGCTCTGCATCCATCGTTTTTCAGTGCTTTATAGAAGTGCTTCATTCTGTTCAAGGGCAAGATAGATAAGGCACTTTACAAGGCAGACGTTGTGTCCAAGATTAATGGCTAAAGATGTATGTTATGAAATACCTGCACTTCCATTGTTGTAGCACTTGGTTAAATGCCTTTTGAGTCTTCAATAGCTAAAAGTGGCGTTATTTCGAAAGTTAATATCTTTGTTTAGATAGCTGCATATTTGTTGAGGCAACGACCATCAAATTAAATGATCAGTAGTCCATGTTCCCCGAGTTTACATAACCAGATTCAAGATGATGTAAACAATATTTATCAACTACATGGTTTGATCATGAATGAAGTCTCATAAAACTTGTGCGTCAATTCCATGTGCCTACGCTAGAGTCTTGATTGTTAGCCCAAACTTGATGAGGTGTTTGTCACTTGTTGGATCCAAATACGACAACAGCTGCTGAGGAAGTCCAATAGCGATTCTAAAAGTGTTACCTCAGTGATTGTTTTTAATATTTTCAGGTTCTATTGAGTTTGAAATGATATAAATTTTGAGCACCTTCCTGTTGAAGATCACAATTATTTTTCGCCTGCCTATGAATTATAGTGGGTTTCAATCTTGCATTCAATAGGAAATGTTTGATATGTTTGGCTCATCAAAGGTGCATCTGAACATCCATTCAATGGCATGATACCTATCAGCAAAAGTTGATCCAATTAGTGTTATAATACAAGGATGCTTATTTAACTTGGAGAAAAGTAAAATACAAAATTACTACCTGCTCTTTTACATTCTATTTTGCATCTACCGAGGCTTCGTTGTACGCTTTTGAATGTCTTGGCCATTCTGTTTACCAGCTGCCAGCCATCAAGCATGTATGACTACATCACTTGGTAATTTAGACAAAGGAAATGGTATATTGGATCCCCCTATCATTCGTGAAACGGGTAAACCTACATTTAGATTATACTCTTTTCAGAATGACATATTGTTTATACATTACTGTAAACTGTGGCTATTTGTATATAAGGGTCCACATCAGGCACATCTAACCCATGTCATGTTACGTTCAATGCTGTTCCAATCAAAGGTTTGCACAAACTTTGTCTTACAATAATATCCACCATACATATGTCTTGGTACTCCTTTTTCCCTAATGATACTTCTTACATATTCAGCTCATAGGCGGGCCAAAAAGGTGTGTCTGGTCTCTAAAGAGCAACGAAGTGAGTATGTTGCTCTAAAAAAGGTCCCGAACTGCCAATACTGTCGTCCAAAGAAGTTTGAATATGAACCTCCAGGATTTTATTGTAAAAGTGGTTCAATAAGGTTAACATGTCATAAAATGCCAACTGAATTATTAGAGTTATACTTTGGAAATACTGAAGAATCTGAAAACTTTCGAACTTATATTAGAACGTACAATAACATGTTTGCATTTACTTCACATGGTGTAAAGTATGATAAAGATCTAGTGAGAAGAAACAGTGGTATCTACACATTTAGAGTCTAGGGACAAATGTATCATTTTATAGATGATTTAGTTCCTTCCAATGAAAAACCTAGGAATTTACAGTTGTACTTCTACGAATGATAATGAACTAGCCAATAGGATGGCCTGTTCGACAAGAATTAATGAGGCAATAGTGAAAACGTTGGACATATTGAAAGTAAATCCATATACTATTTACCTAAAATCTCTCTTAAATGTTCCCCAATTATCTGATTTTTATAATGCTCTTAAATATCACTCAACCTTAGATCAACGAACATATAACTTACCCAACACATCAGAGATTGCCGCATTATGGCTTGAAGAAAATCCTAGAGATACATCTGCACCACATATTTGAATTTATACCCACAGTAATAGAGCTCGGTTAGTACATTATTATTGTGGATGTTACGATCTGTTACCGTATTCATTATTATTGCCCTTCGGTGAAAATGGATGGCATTGTGGAATCAAAAGAATTATTCAGACAAATAATGTGACGAAACGTAGAGCTTATTGTGAAGATGAACAGTTGCCCAGTATATCAAATATGTGTCCAGTTGATGGATTTCTTGATATGGAAGATGAATCACTACAAAAAGGAAAACGAAAAAGAGATACAGTGTCTTGTCGAGAATATTATTGTTACAAATTTCAACTAAGAGATAATGAAACAAATGAAGTGCTACATTGTGGGAGAATATTCCAACAATTTATAGTAGACATATATATAAAGCTTGAAACTCAAAGATTAGACTTCTTCTCATTTAATCCAGACTTATTTAGAATTGAAGTCTTGCAAGGACTCATTGATATTTTAAGATGTGGTGAAAGGGAAGCCTTTAAAATTGGAAAGAAAACGTTCCTCCCTGTTACATTTATAGGGGGACCAAGGGACATGCGCCGACGATACATGGATGCTATCGCATTGGTACAATATTTTGGAAAACTTGTTTTATTTATAACAATTTATAACAATGACATGTAATCCTTCTTGGCTAGAAATGAAAGAGCATTTATCGCTAGCTGATGAGGTACAAAACATACCTGATTTAGTTAGTAGAGTTTTCAGAGCAAAGGTAGAAGAATTAAAGACGGATATATTAAGAAGACAAATCTTTGGAAGAGTTGCATGATTCATGTATACTATAGAATTCCAAAAACGTGGTCTTCCACATGCTCATTTCCTTATTATACTTGCTGATGAACACAAATTATTGACTCCTGAATCTTATGATAAATTTGTCTGCGCAGAATGGCCTGATTCTAAAAAAGATCGCGATCTATATTCACTTGTTATTAAACATATAATGCATGGTACTTGTGGAAAGTTAAATCCTACAAATATTTACATGAAAAATAATAATTGCAAATTCAAGTATCCAAAACATTTTGCTGAACAAACATCAAAAGGGAAGAATTCATATCCAATATACAGAAGGAAAAGAACCGAAGAAGCTGTAGAAATAAGAGGTAAGTTTCTGAATAATTCTTGGGTAGTTCCATATAATCCATTTTTGCTATGCAAGTATAATTGTTATATGAATGTTGAAGTTTGTTCTGATATCAAGGTAGTGAAATATATTTACAAATATATCTGCAAAAGACACGATAAAATTGCATTTCATATACATGATAGTGATACAGATTCAGACATAGATGAAATAAAAGAATATCAATATGCTAGATGGGTTTCACCTCCAGAGGCTGCGTGGCGATTATTTAGTTTCCCCACAAGTGAAATGACTCTAAGTGTTTTTCACCTTCAGTTACATTTGGAAGGACAACAATTTGTCTCTTTTAAAAGTATTGAGAATGTTGATAGAATACTGAGTAATCCAATGATTCGAAAAACAATGTTAACTGAATTCTTTGTTATGAACAACACAAATAAAGATGCTATGCAACCGTTATTATTATATAAAGAATTTCTTGAGTACTTTGTATGGTCACCTAGGGAAAAAACGTGGACACGTCGAAAACAACGTACTGTAGTTGGACGTGTTGTAACATATCATCCAACAGAAGGAGAAAGATATTGTCTTAGATTATTGTTGATGAATGTTAGAGGACCAAAATCATATCAGGACTTATGTATAGTTGACGGCAAATGTTGTAGTACATTTAGAGGGCTGCAGAAAAAAGAGGATTGTTACATTGTGATAACAACTTGGTTGAATGTATGTCTGAAGCTACAAATTATCAAATGCCATATAGTTTAAGGCGTTTGTTTGCAACATTATTGGTATATTGTAATCCTGTTAATCCAATAGAACTTTGGAAACAATTTGAAGATTCAATGTCCGAAGATTTTAAGATTCTATCTAACATGAATGCTAAAGATATTCGTTTTATGGCTTTAAATCATATCAATGATATTTTGCATTTGATGGGACGTGATATTAATGAATATAATATGATTCATGAGAAGAGTAAACCTTCAGCTGTTGTTAGAGAAACCAATGACTGTCAGTTTGAAAGAAACATCATTGTTAGAGAAGAAGATTTGCTTCTAGAGAGAAAATTAAATACCGAACAGCGAAAAGCGTATGACACTATTCTTAATAGAATATTTTCTAACAAATCAGTAGCATTTTTCGTTGACGGACCTGAAGGACCTGGAAAAACTTTTCTATACCGTGCTTTATTAGCTGCTATACGATCAAAAGGTTTTGTCGCTTTAGCAACAACAAGTTCAGGTGTTGCGGCTTCGATCCTCCCAGAAGGACGAACTGCTCACTACCGTTTTAAATTTTTTATTGATATCGATGAACAATATTCTTGTAACATTAGTAAGCAAAGCACACTTGCAACTTTAATACGTGATGCAAAACTGATTGTCTGGGATGAAGTATCTATGACAAAAGAGAAAGTGATAGAAACTTTTGATATTCTCTTGAAGGATCTAATGGATACGAATGCTCTATTTGGAGGAAAAGTGGTCGTTTTCGATGGTCATTTTAGACAAACTCTCTCGGTTGTTAGGAGTGGAAAAAAAGAAGATTTTATTCAAGAAAGCTTATTATATTCTGAAATTTGGAATCAACTTGAAAAATTACGATTGTCAGAGAATATGTGTGCAAAGACAGATCCTACCTTTTGTGAGTATTTGATGAGAATAGGAAATGGACAAGAAAAAACATATAGCTATGACAAAATTGAAATCCCTGATTGTTTTGTTATCCCTTTCATTTTTGAAAATCAATCATTAGATCTGTTGTTTAGAGTTACTTATATAGATCTGCATAGGTGTTTTTCTGATGCATCTTCTATGACTTCGCGTGTAATTCTGACAACCAAAAATGACTTTTTTAATGAAATAAATGATTTGCTCATATCTCAATTTCCTGGCGATCCTAAAACATATGTTGCATTTGATGAGACTATTGAAACAAACGATCAAAGTCAATATGAAGATTTTTTGCATACTTTATATCCTGCTAGTTTACCTCCCCATATATTAACCTTGAAAAGGAATTGTCCTATTATGTTGTTATGAAATTTAAATTTGTGTGAAGGTTTATGCTATGGTACACGGCTTATATCTTGTGATCTTCAAAAACATGTTATAAGTGCTAAAATTGCTACTGGGGACTTTAAGAATATGCATGTATTTATTCCCAGAATACCATTATTATCATCAGCAGATGAAAAATTGCCTATTCCTTTTAAAAGAACACAATTTCCTTTGAGATTATGTTTTGCTATGACAATAAATAAAGCTCAAGGTCAAACATTGGACTTCGTGGTAGTTTATTTACGTGAATCTGTTTTTTCACATGGTCAACTCTATGTAGCACTATCAAGAGCAAAAAGTTCCAATTGTGTAAAACTATTAATTCGTCTACCTACAGTAGATAGCGATGATGATCATTCAACCTACAGTATAGTGTATGATAAAATTATTCAAAAAGCTTTTGCATAAATAGTTTCACATGATGGACCCAACTTCTGTTGTTGCAATGCGCTCACATAATTCATGGCAGGTTGGCTTGAGGTTTGGAATAGTCTGTTGCTACAAAGGTATTTTTACCAATTACCTGTATGATTATTTTTCATTTAACGATGCTTGTTGAAACAAACTTTTTGCACATTTACTGCTGTAAATGCAGTTGCTGTCCCGGTTGATGCTATCAAATGATCTTTTTTAAGCTTGCTTTACAAGTTTTTCAAGAACTTTCAAGTCTAACACTGACAAAGGTAAGTCATCTCTAAACACCAGAACGTCTACTCTCTCTTGTTCCTAACTTCAGTAAATTTTCCTTCTGTGATCGTTAATTTCTGGTGCGTGTTCTGCTTCTCATCTTCTGCTTTTGTATCATCTCTAGGTATTTATGTTTTCTCTTTAGGAGTAAGAGCTTTTGTGGACTGATCGTATAGCAACTCTTGTTTTCTCTTTATCTACTATATGAGAAGTGGCAAATCGACTGAAGCATAATTTCTGCTATTCAGAAATAGATGTCATAGTAATTCATAGTTACCCGCATTGGGGATCGCCGATTCAGATTTTGCTTTCTCCTTTTACTTTATTTTTCGGCAAAATTCAAAGAGTTGGATTTGTGAAATCTCAAAGTAAAAAAACTAATTGAGGGTTGCAACGTTTGCCGGTTTAAAGAGGTCCTTTTTTGGGTATTTTGATTAATTTTTGCCGCTGCTTTCTCTGAGGAACAAAGCATTTGTTAACTCAGGGTTGCACTGTATGCTGGTTTCACGAAATACATATTTGTTTTTCTTTTTATGACCGATGGTAAATTTGTTTCGGATAAACCGTAATAGTTTGATTGGGGAAAAGCTTTGAATTTAGACACTAAATTTGAAAAACTTCGATCTTAAAAATTTGTTGTAAACCTTTTTGAAGTCGAGGGAATTTTGTGATCCTGGCCTTTGATTCCATGGTATCGAAAAGAGAAAAGGAAAGTATAATCCGATATTGTGCTATATAATATTTCCTTTTTTCCTTTGCATAAAGTTAGACCATAAATAGGTAAACTTTATTTGAATTTTAAAATTATAGCTGATTTACTGTTCTCCGTTAAAGTTCGTTAAAGCTGAGTTCTGCTTGCTTAATGCTTTTTCCCTGCAGAACCTTGAGCTTCTCGCAATATATTGCTCAATATCTGCGCTGTATACTATAGTTATTAGTCAATATTTAGTTAAGTTGTAAAGCAGAAAATATAGTCAAGAGAAGATTTTTGATTTCCTTTTCCTTAAACATGTATACTAAGTTGGCTGAGTGTTTGTATTTTGTCGGAGCTCAATTTTTAGGCATTTGCTTGCCTCCATTGCATGCTAATGTAAAGTCTCTTTCAGAATGGATAGAAATTAGACTGTGTTGTACTTTGTTCTGATTGATCTTTATGATGTTAGTAGACTCAACTTCAATGGTTTATAGCCAACTCATGAATGTTGTCCTCTGTGAAAGGTAATTCGTAGTACCATAGTTTGTTTAATTTGGAACTCTTCTTTTGATTATGATAGGAGCAACCTTGAATTACTATCTTGATGTCAAAATTGACGAAGCGGTGATTTTTCCAGGGGTTGGATGCGTCTTGATTTTTTGTATAGGATCTGCTCACTGATAACAAAGCAGAGTTTGATTGTTATTCAAATGACCGAGAAGATAGCATGAGGTATGTGTCAATATGACCACACACATCATTTATATGTCTTTACAAAATGGTCAATGACCATTAATTATGGGTTGGTACTTTTTTTCCCTTCTTAAAAATAGTATATGAATGTAGGGCTACATCTTTTTGTCTGAGGTTCATGTCATGACAGTGTTGATAATAATGTATGCCTCGAAGGAGAGTACTGTCATTTGATGACTTAACCACTTTTGAAGTGAGCACTCACTTCAATACCGATTTTCTATATTATTTCATTAGTTATACACCGAAATATTGAAGTGAGCGCTTGACTCAAGCACATTTATTTGACAAATTAACAACGTAATCTTAATTAACTGTACACGGTGTGTCCATATCATTACCTAGGATAAGAATGCTTGAGATTATTTTCAATGTTAGAATATATACCACACTTCATCATTCTTATTTATGGATTGGGGGGAGGAAGGGGAATAGTTCTTATGAACTCAAATCTAAGGCGGAAAAATATCAAATAGAAATACTGGACAATTCCTAGGAGGCCTTTCTTTACTTATCAATGACTAGATATTTTCTTATATTTATCCACGATTTATCTCTAGGGTCAACCTGCTGGTACACATATCTCTTTATGTACTCTTATGACGCAGGCAATCAAAACATCTAGAGGAGAAAGTGTTTCTTGGACTACCTCCCAGATAAAAGCTTATTTTGGTTTATCAGGCGGGTAAGCGACCAATTTCGTAGCTTTGTTATCTATGTCATTATTTTTGATTCAGATATCAGTTGGATTCCACGAGATTGAAATCAGATAAAAGGAATTGAAACATTCTTTTCCTTTTCCTTGCACTAAACTTTTGCTGCTTTCGTTATACCATATTGGTATAGCATTCTTTTGCTGCAACTACTCAAGCAAAGAATTCCTTGCTTGCATTCTCTGTGTTATTTTCTGTCAGTATAATCAAATTACTATACTGTCAGGCTTATATCTGCTTGTTGTTATTGTTTTCGGGTTATACATATACCCTATGCCACTGGAAAATGGGGATAATTAAGCACCAGAGAGTATTTCAGACAGGATGGGTTCCTTGACTTTCTACTTTTGGGTTTATGTATTTCATAATAATTATTGCAACCTCCAAATGGATTCTCCTTAATCAGATCACTTCCACAATTTGTACAGTTTTATTCAAATGAATACTAGTTTGTATAATAATTGAAAGATATAAGAAGGATAATGTGGCACTCTCTGAAGCTAGCAAAAGTACTATCTTTTTTCGTTTTTTTGCATGTTCTACCTCTTTCTTTTCATTTAATTAGCTTTCGCGGCTAGAAATTCGGCAAAAATTAACCGTGATCGACCGACCGATTTCGATCAGTAAACAAAACGTCCAAAATATCGAAGTCGGCCGGTTTTTCAAAATATTTTATTTTTTTAATTTTTTTTTACGAAACCGACCAACTTTGGTCGCTTTTGTTTGGCGCAAAAATGCGGGAAATTATTTTTGCATCCCGCGAATTCTTTTTTCAAGAAGCCGACCAACGTTGGTCGGTTTTTTATTTAAAATAAAATAAAATAAATTATAAAAAACCGACCGAAATCGGTCGGTTAATTCGGCCAGTCATTTTAAAAAATCAGACCGAATTCGATCGGTAATTTTATTTTTTAATAAAACCGACCGATAAAAATGCAACTAAAAAGTATAAATAAAATAAAAGACAGTGTTAAAATAAAATGCACAAATGGTCTAGTGGTAGAATAGTATCCTGTCACAGTACAGACTCCGGTTTGATTCCCAGATGATGTATTTTTTGGTCGGTTTTTTCGGTAATTTTTTTTTTGAAATTTAATTGACCGACCGAAATCGGTCGGAAAATACCGACCTTACGATTACCGATCACCTTGAATCGGTTGGTTTTTAATTGATTTTTGTTAATTACCGACCAACATCGGTCGGTTTTGGCGGTTGATTTTTCCCGTTTTTAGTAGTGTTTCAGACACGTTAATTGATCTCATGCTTATTAATATAAATATTTTAAAAATATTACTATAATAAGTATGCAATGAGTTGCACAAAAAATAAAGAGAAAATATATACGCTTAAATTGATGAATGATGAGTCTACTCAAACCAATACTTATCATTGTAAAGCACAATCATACTTAAAAATAGCTATCAATTGAGTTTAAAAATTAATATTAGAAAGACTTCATTATGAAATTCTTATAATATATCAAGTACTCAACTGGACCGTATTTCCTTTTATAATATGTCAACAACGCATAATTTAAATGTCCACTATAGTTGCAAATATCTTGAATTTTTTGTCTTCCTTTAAGAAATTGCAGCCTCCATCTTTTTATCGCTACATACATATTAAGAAATTATTATCAGATACGAGTAGTGTTTTGTAGAAGCTACTCAGAAATTGTATCAACTTATGTACGCCTTCCTTGGGGATGCACCTACACAAAAAAGTAGTTATTTGTGATAGCGATAATAATTACTCGAATATTTAACTAATGTAATAATAAATTTTTTCATCTGTGAATTTGACAAAAAAAATATTGGTTGAATTGTATGTAACGACCTGGCCGGTCGTTTTGAGTGTTATAGCCTCGTTCTCCCCTTTACTGCTTATTCTTTGCTCAATTGCTGTTATGTGACTTGACGGGGTAGTTGGTTTGGTTCCGAGAATGCTTTGGAATTAGTTGGGACACTTAGTCCCAAGGTTGGAAGTTTAAGTCCAAAGAGTTGATCGGATGTCAACTTATGTGTAAACGACTCTGGAATGGAGTTTTAATGGTTCGGATAGCTCCATATGGTGATTTTGGACTTAGAAGTGTGTCCGGATAGTGATTTGGAGGTCCGTAGTCGATTTTGGCTTGAATTGGCAAAAGTTGAAAAAAATGAAAGTTTGGAGAGTTGAGGAGTTTGACTGAGAGTTGACTTTGTGGTTTCCGGGCTCGGATTTTGATTCCGGAAGTTGGAGTAGGTCCTTTGTGTCATTTATGACTTGTGTGCAAAATTTGAGGTCAATCGGACTTGATTTGATGGGTTTCGGCATCGAATGTAGAAGTTAGAAATCCATAAGTTCACTAGGCTTGAATCGATGCGCAATTCGTGGTTTTAGCGTTGTTTGATGTGATTTGACGCTTCGAACTTTGAGATGACTTTATGGCTTCCGAGCTCGAATTTTGGTTCCGAAAATTGGAGTAGGTCCGTCGTGTCATTTATGACTCGTGTGCAAAATTTGAGGTCAATCGGACTTGATTTGATAGGTTTCGGCATCGAATGTAGAAGTTAGAAATTCATAAGTTCATTAGGCTTGAATCAATGCGCAATTCGTGTTTTTAGCGTTGCTTGATGTGATTTGACTTCAAGAGAGTTCTAGGACTTGTTGGTATGTTCGAGGGCTGTTAAATTTTTCCTCTTCACGTTCGCATAGTGATGGACGCGATCGCGTTGGTTGAGAAGCTTGTGCTTCGTGAATGCGTACAGTGAATCGCGTTTGCGTACAAGGAAGTGAGGCAGCCGGTTCACGCAAGGTTGTTCTTCGCGATCGTGTGAATATGGCCGCGATCGCGGAGGTCTGTGGAACTGTGTATCGCGTTCGTGTAGTGTAATTTGGGCAGCCTATGAATTTGTGCTTCGCGATCGCGAAGAGTTTTCCGCGATCGCGAAGAAGGGCATCTGGGCAGACTTAAATATTTCAAAAATGAGGGTTAGAGTAAAATTTAACAATTTGATTTTGGGAGCTCGGATTGAGGCGATTCTTGGAGAAATTTTCAAAGGAGTGATTGGGGTAAGTGATTCTAACTCGGTTTTGTTTTAAATTACATGAATATATCATTGTTTTCATCATTTAATTAGTAATTTGGGTTGAAACATTTGGGAAAAATGGAGAAACGTCTTGGGTCGAATTTTGGGGATTTGAGCGGCATTTTGGTGTTGGATTTGAGCAATTTTAGTATGGTTGGACTCATGGTTGAATATGTGTTCGGATTTTATAACTTTTGTTGGATTTCGAGACGTGGGCCCGAGATTGACTTTTTGGTTTGACTTTTTGACTCTTGATTTAAGAACTTAGCATTTTCATATGGAATTGATTCCAATAGCTTGAGTTGATTGTATCGAATTATTTTTGGCTAGATTCGAGGCGTTCGTAGGCCGATTCGCAAGGCAAGGGCTTATTGGAGTAGAGATTTGCACGGTTTGAGGTAAGTAACATTCTAAACTTGGTTTTGAAGGCATGAATCCTGAATTTCGTGTTATGTGATTAGTGTTGAGGTGACACACATACTAGGTGACAGGCGTGTGGGCGTGCACCGTAGTAATTATGACTTAGTCGATTTCGTGGGACTGTGTAGTCACCTTATCTGAATATTATTACTAAACTCTGTGTTGGAGAACTTGAGCTGTCAATTTTGTTAGAAATCATGTTTAGGCTATGAGCTGGTACTATCGGGACCCACAATGGTCGTTCTTTTGTTAAGATTATTTTTCTAATTTGCAGTTACGTACTCAGTCACATTTATCATTGTATATCATATATCAGTCTCTGTATCATTTATTATCATATCATGTATCGTTGATTTGGGCTGCTTAGCATGAGTGTGGTGAGTTGATGACTGAGTTGGGGCATGAGAGTCGTGCTATGAGTGAATTATGTGGATCGGGTTGCATGCCTCAACAAGCCTTATGTCTATATGTGGATCGTGTTGCACGCTGCAACAAGCCTTATGACTATATGTGGATCGGATTGCACGACGCAATAAGCCTTATGGCTATATGTGGATCGGGTTGTGCGCCGTGACAGGCCTTTTGGCTATATGTGGATCGGGCTGCATGCCGCAACAGATACCGTATAGTGCTGAGTGACTGAGTGTGACGAGCGAGAATTAAGACAGTCAGATTGAGTGCTCTGAGAGTAAAAATACTTGAAGTTTCATTGTGTTGCATCACATACGGTATTCATATTGGCATGTAGATATAGACATGTCATATTCATCATATTAGTCACACTTGGTATATTTTATCCGTGTTGAGCTTAATTGTTAAACCTAGAAGCATGTCAACATTTTCTGTATTCTTAAATTCTTTACTTTTACTGTATTATTTGAGCTCGTCACTGCTTTCAGCCCAAATGTTAGACTTGTTACTTATTGAGTTGGTTGCATCACATACGGTATTCATTTTCACATTCTTGTATTCTTGTCGTGCAAATCTGTTTATTCCAGAAACTAAACTTCTGTTGTCTATTCTCTCATAGATGGTGAAGAAACGTGCTGCCGGATCGGGCGGATGACCACCAGTACCACCCTCTAGGGCCACGGAACGCCGAGGTCGCGGTAGAGGCCGAGGTGCAACTCGTACAACAGCTAGAGCAACACCTGTAGACCCACCAGTTGTTCCAGCTCAAGAGCAGATCATTTTGATTCCAAGCCTTCAGGAGGCTCTGGCCTAGATATTGACTGTTTGCATTAGCCTTGCTCAGACAGCTTTAGTTCCGCAGCCACTTCTCAGGCCGGGGGAGGTGCTCAGACACCTGCTGCCTATACTCATGGACTTCAGACACCGAGGGTATCTCCAGCCCACCCGGTTGCACTTGCTCAGGCCTAGGTGGGCCTCGTTATGAGTGGTGAGGAGCAGAAGAGACGAGAGAGATTTGGGAGGCTCAAGCCTCCAACATTCAGTGGGGCATAGTCTGAGGATGCTCAGGACTTCTTGGATAGGTGCCAGCGGATTCTTAGCATGACGGGTATTCTAGAGACTAGTGGGGTATCATTTACCACTTTTCAGCTGACGAGGGAAGCCTTTAGATCGTGGGATGCATATGAGCGGAGCAGGCTAGCCGATGCTGCACTACTTTTATGGCACGAGTTCTCCGTTCTCGTTTTGGAGAAGTTTGTGCCACCGACCCGCATGGAGGAGTTGCGTAGGCAGTTTGAGCAGCTACGCCAGGAGCGCATGTCTGTGACCTAGTATGGGATGATATTTTCAGAGTTGGATCGTCATGCGATCTGGTTGGTTCCCACTGAGAAAGAGAGGATTAGGAGGTTCATTGATGGCCTTAACTATTAGTTGCGATTTGTTATGACTCGGGAGAATGCATCAGGTGCTAGGTTCGACGAGGTGGTTGATATTGCTCAGCGGCTAGAGTTGGTCCGTAGTGAGGAGAGGGAGGCCAAGAGGCCTCGTGGTTTGGGTGGTTTCAGCGGTGTTTCTTCTGGGGGTCAGTCCCACCACATCAAGGGTCGTCCTTATAGGCCCGCTAAGATGG